ACTATACATGTAAAATCTTATCTAATTGGGGGCTAACTTCGCATAGGTTAATTTTTTTTTAATTTTTTCCACACCATACAGAGATATGGGAGAAAGAATAAATTTTTCGATTAAGTAACGTAAATGTAATTGATAGTTAATATTAGTAAACAATGTTGTGCGAAAGTGGCACCAAATCAGTGAGATCCCACGAAATTTCGAGATTACAGAGACAAACATCCCAGCCACTACAAGCCACGACGTATGCTCTGGGAAAGCCGATCGAAATTAAATCCTAGTCGGCGTCGTTGTAGCGTCGCGACGCCTCCGCCACCAAACCCACCGGACGTGGAATCACCAACAAAGTGCTTCTATGATTATACACAAAGATACCAACCGGCTTACAACAATCCCCGTTATCGAAACGTTAACCAGATGTTCGTTGGTGTGCGTGTATGTACATGTCATCGTGGGACGTTCGTGGAAATAGAAGGTGGGGTAGGCGTCGAAACGTGCACGAGCAAGCAAGCAAGCAAGCATCAGGATGTAGCGAAGTCAGACGATGCTGAACACGGAACCTAGCAAACTGTAGCCTTAGGTCAATATTGACCGCTGTAATGACCGGGGCCTGTTTGGTACTTACCCCCTTCAAACGTCAGATCGTGCGGCGCCGCCATCGCAAACATTTGGATTTCAAAGTGAATCGGCACGGCGAAAACCCGGTTTAGATAAACCGGGGCTGAGCGACGCCTACGACGACGTGACGCCTAAATGCATGCCTGTTGTAATGCAATTAAGTCACGATGTTTGCGCGTCGAGTAGGAACGATTTCATATGTGATTTTCAAAAAGAAGTTGATGTTAGAAGAAATAAATTTGAGTATAATAGATAAATTCAAATTTATGCGTTATTATGTCTTGTAGATATGGTTTTGTGCATTAATTACAAACAATTCTCATCAACACTTTTCCTTTTCCAGTTATAACAAAATTTGTAGCCAAAAACGTCAATTTAGAGATTTTGCGATTTCATACAAGGTGATTTTCAACCTATTATAATGACTAATAGGCGAAAAAATGTGTAGTAAAATATTTTCTGTTTCATAGATATTCCCGTGATACTTACTTTCAAAGCAAGAATACATAGAACATTTTAAAATAACATCACAGCAAGTGTTCGATGTTATTTCCCATATTTTCTATCAATTGGGCTCCACGATCTCCCACTAGCGCGGCCTAAACCAGGGTGTTGGCGGATTTTCTAGGCAGCAGAATGTATCTGATTTTGTAATATTTGCTCAGTATTAACTTTTCTGGTGTGCACTATGCTTTTTAAGTTACCCGAAAAGTAAAAATCAAGAGGATTGAGGACATCTCGACCTATCCATCTTCCAGGAAACACATTATTTACATGTCGCTGATTATATCAGATACCTAGGAAACTAAAAAACTTTTACTAGAATTTTTTTCATTTATTAGTCATTATTTGTCCAGAGGAATAAATCCCTCAGTTTATGCGTAGAGGTTGAATCACCCTGTATATGTATATAAATCAAAATGTCAACCAATTAGAAACAAACCATTTATGAATTGTGTTTTTATGATTTCTTATGAACAATTTTTATTAATATCATTATCCTCAACAGTTTTTAATTTTTGAGTTAAACTTCATTTTGTTGATAAATCCTCAAAATTCGTAATATTTGAGATTTTAAATTTGTTAGGTTGGTAATAAGCTTAGTTGGGTTATAATAACGTTTTTTGCATTAATTATAAACAATTCTCATCAAAAACATTTTCTCCTAACATTTTTCATTTTCGAATTATAACAACAATTAGTAACCAAAAACGTCAATTTGGAGATTTTGCGATTTTATATCTATAAATAAAAATTTCAACCAATTAGAAACAAACTATTTATAAATTATGTTTTTATGATTTATTATGAACAATTTTTATTAATATTATTTTCCTCCACACGATTTAATTTTTGAGTTAATCCCCATTTTGTTGATAAATCCTCTAAATTCGTAATATTTAAGATTTTAAATTTGCTAGGTTAGTAATAAACTTAGTTGGGTTATAATAACGTTTTCTGCATTAATTATAAACAATTCTCATCAAAAACATTTTCTCCTATCATTTTTCATTTTCGAGTTATAACAACAATTAGTAACCAAAAACGTCAATTTGGAGATTTTGCGATTTTATATCTATAAATAAAAATTTCAACCAATTAGAAACAAACCATTTATGAATTATGTTTTTATGATTTATTATGAACAATTTTTATTAATATCATTTTCCTCCACACGATTTAATTTTTGAGTTAAACCCCATTTTGTTGATAAATCCTCAAAATTCGTAATATTTGAGATTTTAAATTTGTTAGGTTGGTAATAATCTTAGTTGGGTTATAATAATGTTTTCTGCATTAATTATAAACAATTCTCATCAAAAACATTTTCTCCTATCATTTTTCATTTTCGAGTTATAACAACAATTAGTAACCAAAAACGTCAATTTGGAGATTTTGCGATTTTATATCTATAAATAAAAATTTCAACCAATTAGAAACAAACCATTTATGAATTATGTTTTTATGATTTATTATGAACAATTTTTATTAATATCATTCTCCTCCACACGATTTAATTTTTGAGTTAAACCCCATTTTGTTGATAAATCCTCAAAATTCGTAATATTAGAGATTTTAAATTTACTAGGTTGGTAATAAATTTAGTTGGGTTATAATAACGTTTTCTACATTAATTATAAACAATTCTCATCAAAAACATTTTCTCCTATCATTTTTCATTTTCGAGTTGTAACAACAATTAGTAACCAAAAGCGTCAATTTGGAGATTTTGAGATTTTATATCTATAAATAAAAATTTCAACCAATTAGAAACAAACCATTTATAAATTATGTTTTTATGATTTATTATAAACAATTTTTATTGATATCATTCTCCTCAACGCTTTTTAATTTTTGAGTTAAACCCTATTTTGTTGATAAATCCTCAAAATTCGCAATATTTAAGATTTTAAATTTGCTAGGTTGGTAATAAACTTAGTTGGGTTATAATAACGTTTTTTGCATTAATTATAAACAATTCTCATCAAAAACATTTTCTCCTAACATTTTTCATTTTCGAGTTATAACAACAATTAGTAACCAAAAACGTCAATTTGGAGATTTTGCGATTATATATCTATAAATAAAAATTTCAACCAATTAGAAACAAACCATTTATAAATTATGTTTTTATGACTTATTATGAACAATTTTTATTAATATCATTCTCCTCCACACGATTTAATTTTTGAGTTAAACCCCATTTTGTTGATAAATCCTCAAAATTCGTAATATTTGAGATTTTAAATTTGCTAGGTTGGTAATAAACTTAGTTGGGTTATAATAACGTTTTCTGCATTAATTATAAACAATTCTCATCAAAAACATTTTCTACTATCATTTATCATTTTCGAATTATAACAACAATTAGTAACCAAAAACGTCAATTTGGAAATTTTGCGATTTTATATCTATAAATAAAAATTTTAACCAATTAGAAACAAACCATTTATGAATTATGTTTTTATGATTTATTATGAACAATTTTTATTAATATCATTCTCCTACACACTTTTTAATTTTTGAGTTAAACCCCATTTTGTTGATAAATTCTCAGAATTCGTAATATTTGAGATTTTAAATTTGTTAGGTTGGTAATAATCTTAGTTGGGTTATAATAATGTTTTCTGCATTAATTATAAACAATTCTCATCAAAAACATTTTCTCCTATCATTTTTCATTTTCGAGTTATAACAACAATTAGTAACCAAAAACGTCAATTTGGAGATTTTGCGATTTTATATCTATAAATAAAAATTTCAACCAATTAGAAACAAACCATTTATGAATTATGTTTTTATGATTTATTATGAACAATTTTTATTAAAATCATTCTCCTCCACACTTTTTAATTTTTGAGTTAAACCTCATTTTGTTGATAAATCCTCTAAATTCGTAATATTTGAGATTTTAAATTTCTTAGGTTGGTAATAGTGATGTTTGAGTCATAAATTGATTCATTACAATCAATTTTCACCCACAACATTTTCTTGCACATTCTCAATTTGCCAAAAAAAATTGTAAGAAAAGTTTTCTCAATCAAATTTTTTTTTAACTCCAAACAAAATATGGTTATAAAAAACATCGTTAACGTGTCGCCGTGCCCAAATTGAATGTGGGGACACGAAAGAGAATACTGTCACAAAACAAAAGCGAGAAAAACATAACCCTATCGCTGCGTATCATAGGTCCGTGAAATATTTGCGTAGTGACAGAATAAAGTCCCTCTCAATAGTTTATACTCTGGTCCCGTTATCGAGACCTCCACTGACCTCCACCGAGCTCCTCGCTCCCCCAAACCCCAAAAAAGCAAAAAAAGGGCGGCTATGGTTTTCGGGTTGTGAACGTTGGGGGTTGTTCTAAAATCCGGGGGGCGGCAAAAGCAACATGGATATAGAATAGATAGAGAGCGAGGGAAAAAGAGGGCGAATATGTGGCTCGTTTTTCCGCGTTTGTCATCTGTTTTGCGTCGGCGGCGTCGGCGTCGGGACGCGCGCGCGGTATCGAGCGTGTTTTGTTTTTGTTCCGATGCCTTTTTGTTTTTGCGCTCAACTCAACCTAAAAACGCAGGGCGAAAGAGTGAGAGGGAGGCTTAAAAACATCGGCGGTCGTTATCGATGTTTTTAGTGGAATTGCATGTACGCTTAATAATGGAAGCACGGCCCTGGATATTTTAGGGAATTTTAGTGTGATTTTATGTTATCTGGTTTTATTTACTTTAGTTCCGGGGCTCCCCCGCGTGCACCCCCCCTCGCGGGGCGCTTCGTGCGGTTGTCGGTTACCGCGCGCTGGTCAACTCTACACCCGACCCTCTCACGTGTGTGGGTGTGTGTGCTCGGTAGTGTCAATTTCGGATTTTATCGACGCCCCGAACCCACCACCACCAGTTTTGACCCCCCTCGAAACTTTTTCCCCACTCATATCATCATCCCCAATCGAAAAATACCCCAAAAATAACCGTTTCTATTTTTACTTTAACCAATTCGAAACAATTCTATTAAATACACATAAATAAATCGAAGTAATGAATGATAATCACGAATTTACCTTTATACTACGTTAATAGCACTTATTAGTGCGTTAATAACCACAATTTCCAAGACGAGGAAACGGATAATTAAAAAAAATCTTTGTGGAGATCAACAAAACAATTAAACGAAATTCATCGTAATTATCATTTCTATTTAAACCCGCTTTGTTGTCAAATTAGAGTCAAAATCAAATCCAGTTGTTGCAAGCTAAGCTAGCAGAAATGAGTTTCAAAATCGTGCTTTTATTCGGTTCTATTTCCGCGATAGTTATTTCGGTTTTTGGTGAAAAATGTAACCGCGAAATAGCTTTGATGGAAAATTTTGATATCACAAAAGTAAGTTGGTAAATCTAGAACTAACACTAAACTGGGGTTGATACCCGGAAATCGAAGTATGTTATAAAGAAACTTTTAGAACAAAAATTGTAGAAAATTTTATTCTTAATAATATCGTTGTCTTGCTGTTTTACTCTCAGACGTTTAGATATCGAGAAAAATATGAAAATTTGATGAATTTCGTTATTTTATTGTCAATGGTAGGTAACATTCTGGAATCGGACCATGTTATTAAAAAACTTTTACAATAAAAGTTGTAGCAAATCCTATTCTTAATATTGTTGCTCTCTTGCACTTTTGTTTTTAGATGCATAGATATCGAGAAAAATATGAAAATTTGATAAATTTCGTTATTTCACTATGTGCCAATGGTAATACTTGGAAATTGAAACATGTTATAAAAAACTTTTATAACAAACTTTGTAGCAAATTCTATTCCTAACATTATTGCTCTCTTGCACTTTTGCTCTCACATGCATAGATATCGAGAAAATTACGAAAATATGAAAATTTTATGAATTTCGTTATTTCACTATGTGCCAATGGTAATACTTGGAAATTGAAGCATGTTATAAAAAAACTTTTATAACAAACTTTGTAGCAAATTCTATTCCTAACATTATTGCTCTCTTGCACTTTTGCTCTCACATGCATAGATATCGAGAAAAATACGAAAATATGAAAATTTGATGAATTACGTCATTTCACTATGTGCCAATGGTAACACTTGGGATTCGGAGCATGTTATAAAAAAACTTTTATAACAGAAGTTGTAGCAAATTCTACTCTTAATATTATTGCCCTCTTACACTTTTGCTCTCACATGCATAGATTTCGAAAAAAATACGAAAATATGAAAATTTGATGAATTTCGTTATTTCACTATGTGTCAATGGTAACATTCGGGAATCGGAGCATGTTATAAAAAAACTTTTATAACACATTTTGTAGCAAATTCTATTCCTAACATTATTGCTCTCTTACACTTTTGCTCTCACATACATAGATATCGAGCAAAATACAAAAATATGAAAATTTGATGAATTTCGTTATTTCACTATGTACCAATGGTAACACTTGGAAATCGGAGCATGTTATAAAAAAACTTTTATAACAAACTTTGTAACAAATTCTATTCTTAATATTATTGCTCTCTTGCACTTTTGCTCTCAGATGCATAGATATCGAAAAAAATATGAAAATATGAATTTCGTTATTTCACTATGTGCCAATGGTAACACTTGGGAATCGGAGCCTGTTACTAAAAAACTTTTAGAACGAAAATTGTAGCAAACTTTATTCTTAACAATATTGCTCTCTTACTCTTTTGCTCTCACATGCATGGATATCGAGAAAAATGCGATAAATTTGTTCAATTTCGTCGCTTAACAACGTATTCTTTTTTAGATGGGAGGACATTGGAATGTAGCATTTATAGGAAACGAACAAAAAGGGAAAAAGAAGTGTATGAGAGGAACTAATTACGCCGAAGTGGGTAAAATAATAATCGATGAAGTTGGGTTGGTTGATGGGTAAGATTTTTTCGAATCATTAAAATAAAAAATTTAATTCAATAACTTTTTACCCTTAGAATTGACGAAAACATCGTCACAACTCTCACCCAAATCGGGTCAACTTCCGAGTTTTTAACAGAATCGAACGAATACCGTAAGTATCTTAATATTAAAAAAATTAACACAAAATTTTTAATTATTTAGCCCCAACTCCATGTTGGCTCATCTCAACTGATTATACATCGTACGCAGTTTGGTTTGTATGTAGTAATGGGCATAAGCAAGATGGTATTGATTTAATTGCTTTTTTTGTGGTTTATTTATTTAACATTTTTGTAGGAATTATATATATGTGCACAAGAGATGTAAATCCAAGCGATGAAGTACTAAAAAAGGCACAAGATGCTCTTTTAAAAGCTGGTTTAATGATCGGTGATGGTTATTTATTCAAAATTGATCACTCAAATTGTTAAAAAATATAAACCTTAAATGAAATAAACAAAATTAGAATAGAAATTACAAAAAGAATCTCAATTCCTTCAACAAAAGATTTATCCGTTTCGGTTCTTTTAAGACATTATTCACGATTGTATAAGAAAAAAGCAAACATTCCCTCGTTTCATTTAACCGGATTCTCTTTTGTCGGGGCTATTGTTCGTTTTGAATCATCGCAGAGGTAACATATGCAACGCTACAGGCAGAATTGAGGATTTGTAAGCGAAGGGGGATGTTAATTGTATCATATAAATCAAAAAAAAAGTTTTTATTTAAAAGTTTTTAAATTCAATTTTAGTTGAAACCCTCCCACTTCGTTTTTACATGACTTAAAACCATTGGGTTGACGGAATACCGAACCCCATTAACTCGATATTAACGAGGCCCCATCCGAAATTTACGACTACTAATTGCCCCCGAAGCCGTTCTTTTCGCCGCTAGGTACAGGCGTCCCTAAATTTTCTAAACGCGTTCGCCCCTTCCTACGCGGTAACGACGAAATAATCGTGTGTAAATAAATTTAAGCAAAAATCATGGTGAGTGATGTGCCGGCGATAATTATGCGGCACATGGCCCCGTTGCTGGCTGCCCGGAAACGCAGGTTGGCACGAATTGGGGGCCTCACATAAAGAGCACTTCCGCTGCGGAGGTAATGGTCTACTAAAGTGATGCCCTTCGTACCCGTTTCCACCCTTTTCATTAGGCCTCGTTTTAAACGTCACACGATCAACGTGTCTTGAAATGTTCTTTTGCATTTTTCATTTTTATGAACCTTTAAATCAGTGGTTCTCAACCTTTCCATCACTCTATTCGTAATTAAAGCACGATTAATATCTTAAATTGAAACTAAAACTTATCGTTTTATGATTGAATTAAGAAATAATAGTGAGTTATACGAAGTCATTTAAACCAAAATTGTGAAGATATCGCAATTTTTTCTATAATAAATATATTAATTTCTTGTCAGCTACATAAAGAAGAAGAATTCGCCTTTAAGATAACACCAAAATCATTCTTCAGTCTTCAAAAATAAGACTCCAATGATTTTTTGAATTTCATCGATTTTTATCAAACTGCAATTTTAAAGGCAGAGTTTTGGATTTTTTAAGATATTTCCAAATTTCTTATAATAAATGTATTAATTTCTTTACAACTACATAAAGAAGAAGAATTTTGCTTCAATAAAACACCAAAATTATTTCTTGAATTTCAAAAATAACCCCTAAGTGATTTTTTGAATTTTATCAATTTAATCAAACCTCAATTAAAGCAGCTTTGGATTTTTTAAAATATCTCAAAATTTCTTATAATAAATATATTATTTTCTTTATAAGTACATAAAGAAGAATAATCTGGCTTTAAAATGACATCAAAATCATTTCTTAATCTTCAAAAATAAGCCTTCAATGATTTTTTGAATTTTATGGAATTTTAAAAAACTTCATTTAAAGCAGAGTTTTGGGTTTTTTTAAATATCTCAAAATTTCTTATAATAAATATATTATTTTCTTTATAAATACATAAAGAAGAATAATCTGGCTTTAAGATAACATCAAAATCATTTCTTAATCTTCAAAAATAAGCCTTCAACGATTTATTGAATTTTATCGATTTTTATCAAACTGCGATTAAAGCAGAGCTTTGGATTTTTTAAGATATTTAAAAATTTCTTATAATAAATATGTTAATTTTTTTACAGCTACATGAAGAAGAAGAATTTAGCTTCAAAATAACACCAAAATCATTTTTTGAACTTCAAAAATAAGCCTTGGGTGATTTTTTTAAATTTCATCAACTTGTTATCAAATCTCAATTAAAGCAAAGTTTTAAATCTTTTAAAATATCTCAAAATTTCTTATAATAAACGTATTAATTCCTTTTCAGCTACATAAAGAAGAAGAATTTGGCTTTAAAATGACATCAAAATCATTCTTGAGTCAATCATTTTTTGAACTTTATCGATTTTATCAAATCTCAATTAAAACAGTTTTGAATTTTTTAAAATACCTCAAAATTTCGGCTCTAATACAGATTTGCTAATAATTAACCATATACTTTTAATCGAGGCCTCAGCAACCTCAGATAAGTACCTAATCGATTTGACACATTCATTTATGATTGATTATAACTCTTTTAGATTGTACCACATCTTCTTATAACAATTTTTGAATTTTTTTAGTATCTATAGCAAAACTATTAGTACTATTTAGTGTTCTGCCATCACCATTTTGTCTTATACCTATCATCTAGTCTTCGACCAGAGGTATATAGTCTTCTGCCAGCTATATTTAGTCTTCTGGAAGCAGTATTTAATCCTTTGGAAGCAGTATTTAATCTTCTGGAAGCAGTGTTTAGTCTCTGGAAGCTCTATTTACTGTTCTGGAAGTACTATTTACTTTGTGGAGCAGTATTTAGTCTTCTACCAGCAGTATTTAGTCTTCTTTAAGTAGTATTTAATCTTTTGGAAGCAGTGTGTAGTCTCTGGAAGCTATATTTAGTGTTCTGGAAGTACTATTTACTTTGTGGAGCAGTATTTAGTCTTCTGCCAGCTGTATTTAGTCTTCTTTAAGTAGTATTTAATCTTTTGGAAGTAGTGTTTAGTCTCTGGAAGCTATATTTAGTGTTCTGGAAGTACTATTCACTTTGTGGAGCAGTATTTAGTCTTCTACCAGCAGTATTTAGTCTTCTTTAAGTAGTATTCAATCTTTTGGAAGTAGTGTTTAGTCTCTGGAAGCTATATTTAGTGTTCTGGAAGTACTATTTACTTTGTGGAGCAGTATTTAGTCTTCTACCAGCAGTATTTAGTCTTCTTTAAGTAGTATTCAATCTTTTGGAAGCAGTGTTTAGTCTCTGGAAGCTATATTTAGTGTTCTGGAAGTACAATTTACTTTGTGGAGCAGTATTTAGTCTTCTACCAGCAGTATTTAGTCTTCTTTAAGTAGTATTCAATCTTTTGGAAGCAGTGTGTAGTCTCAGGAAGCTATATTTAGTGTTCTGGAAGTACTATTTACTTTGTGGAGCAGTATTTAGTCTTCTGCCAGCTGTATTTAGTCTTCTGGAAGCAGTATTTAATCTTTTGGAAGCAGTGTTTAGTCTCTAGGAGCTGTATTTAGTGTTCTGGAAGCACTATTTAGTCTTCTGGAACTAGTGTTTAGTCTTCTGGAAGCAGTAGTTAGTCTTTTGGAAGCAGTATCTACCCAGTATGGCATTAAAATATTATATTAAAAATATAAAGTTTGACAACTACTGTTTTAAAGTGATTGGGTGAAATGTTAATTACGTTAATTCTACTTTTTACAATGAGAGACAGTAAAGGTTTAAAGTCTATTACAATTTAAAAACAAAATGAAAAAAGATCAATGATGGAAATTGGATTATTAAAGTTTAGACAAGCTCGGTTTAAAAATTAATTAAGTTTTCACGAAGACTCATTCGCATGTTCTGACAACCAAGTTTTAATTAAAGGTTGATACATAACCAACTATTGTCGATATCGAAACATACTTTTCGTATATTTATTCAGTTTGGACGTTTTCCAGGTTATTGGACTTGGATAACGGAAGTGTTTTATCTCGTGCTTCGAAAGAGAAGTGTTTGCCCCGAACGTATTGCCAATAAACGGGAGGAGTTTTCGGCGGTGCCCTTTCGCGGATATCTCGCGACCATCTTGATCTCCCATAAAACTGTCTGATCCCGCTGGATTTCACTTGGCCCCGGGAATACGGGGAAGCGCGTTGCACACTTTGCGAAAATCTCCTCATATATCTGTCCCCGGGACTATCTTGATCCCAGATTTTGGCTTACCAGAAATCGAGCTGGAGAACCGACGACCTAAACGACCGTCACGAGTTATTGTTCTATTTTAAAGAAAATTGATTTTTTTTTTCTGGGTAAATACAAAAAGAGATATGTACAATTTCGCAGGTTTAGCAACGTTTCGTATAGCGGTACAAACGGTTTTGTTGCTTCCTTTTTTTTTTGATTCGAGGCCGGAGCTTCTGGTTTTTCGTTTCGCTCGTCCCGTTTCGTTTTTATTTTCCGTCCCGAACCCGAACAAATGCATGTCAGCGCAAAAGAGGAGAGGATATAAACGTAAAACGGTTTTAAGCCCAACGAGAACGTCCAAGCTCTCGGTTATTTTGCGTTTTGGACGTTGTCTTCTCTTCTCATCGGTTTCGCGTTACGTACTCTACGTGTAGTTTGTGATTATTTTTTTTCTTTCGCGTTTTATTCCCATTTTTAATTTTTTTTCTTTTTGCTCTATACCCAGTTAGGGCAGACATGGAACGTGGTGTTAACGTTTTTATTCCCTATTTGTATTTATAAATGTTTAAAAAAGAATCAAGTAAGATTACTGATATCGTAAAAAAATAATAGCATTGTGGCCTAAAAACTCTATTAATCAATAGGAAATGACCCAAAAGAGGCGTTAATAACAAAAAAAAGTACGGAAAAGTGTAGTACTTACCGAAAAATCACTTTAAAGTTGCGATTTGACGTTTCGTTTTGTGAGGTTATAAGCATGCACTTTCGTATTAAATCCTAACCTCAAATTGTTTAATTTATACCCACGCACCACATAAAACGTTATTTTCACTAAATTTGTTGAGATTACAACATATTTTCGGATAAAAACCTAGTTTTTTAGGCTATCGATGCATAACGACAACTACCTGTCATTATTGTTTCTACCAAATGTGTGATAATAGACTTTGTGTTAATAGATTGTGCATCAATTGATTGTCAAACGTCACGATTGAAGTGTCAAACGACTAAATTTATCTTTATATTGTAAATATAAACGATAAATAGTATAGTAGCTTATTTAATAGTAGTTTACTTAAATTAAAATAGTTATTAAAAAAGATGGTTACAAAATAAAAATAAATAACCAGCGCGACGATAGCAACAAACCCTCCATCAACAAACTTCATCTTTCTTATTACAAGAGATAGAGGAAAACTAAATGTACATTTATCTTTTTTATATTTATTTATTGTATTTATCATTTATA